AAAACGTACCAATTGTACTAATACAATCAATAATATGCGACAGTAGAAATAATACAACAAATTATATAATTAAACAAAAATAATTAATAAAAAATATAATTACTTATATTTAAAAAAAATAATTATGGAAGAATTATCTACATAATAAAATGTACCAGTTGTACTAATAAAACCGATAATATGCAACAGTAGAAATAATACAATAAATTATACAAACAATACGTAATTAATAATACAACGTATTATATAAAATAATACGTAATAATAATAATAATACAAAATATTATTTAAAATAATACGTAATAGTATTGATAACATAACAGATAAATTCTAGAAAATTTTACTGTACTAAGTTAATTTATAAATATCAAAATTATTTAAATAAATATAAAATTTGGACTTTTAAATCGTAGAAAACTCTAGAAAATATATTTTTTTAGAAATAATAATTAAATATTTTAGAATACTAAAAATTATTTTAACTAGTATCGAAAGTTCTTGGCCATTATATATATATATATATATATCAAAACTTGTGTCAACTTAAGTGGATAGCAAAATGTTGTCCACCAAACTTTTTAACCACTCATATTACCTATGGATCCTTGCATGATATGAAAATGTTTTTATATTAAATGAGTGGCTAGGAAGTTTGGTGGATATCAACTTCACGTTTTTCTTTAATTTCAATTTGATTTTGGTTTCTTTTTAGGGTAATTGTTGAAGTTGCGATCTTGGTTCTAGGATTTGTTTTAGCTTGGGGTTTCTCTTATACTCGATCTTGGTTGTTTGTTTTGTTGGATTATCTTTCAAAATTTGCAATCTTTTTTAGGGTTTCTATTAAAATATTTTAGAAATTGCAATCCTGTTAGTTTTTTTGTTAAAATTGGTTAAAGTTCAGAATTTTAGTTGTGGGGTTTGTTTTAGTTGCTGTCCTAAATAATTGAATTCACTGCAGTGAATCGAGATTCACTACAGTGATTCGAGATTCACTGCAGTGAATCGCCGATTCACTGCAGTGAATCGTCGATTCAATCGCCGATTTTTACTGTCCTAAATAATTGAATTCACTGTAGTGAATCCAGATTCAGTTATGTGAGGTGTTTGTTTTTACCATAAAAATTGTAACTTTTTGCTTAAAATCATCAAACACGTTCTATAAATGCATGAGTGAATCTCGATTCACTGCAGTGAATCCAGCTTGTTTTTACTTCAATAAACGCATGAGTGAATCTAGATTCACTTCAGTGAATCTCGATTCACTGCAGTGAATCCAGCTTGTTTTTACTTCAATAAACGCATGAGTGAATCTAGATTCACTTCAGTGAATCTCGATTCACTGCAGTGAATCCAGATTCAATTATGTGAGGTGTTTGTTTTTTACCATAAAAATCATAACTTTTTGCTGTAAAAGGTGAAAATTTTTCATGTTATAAAATTTTATAGCTTGTTTTTTACCATAAGTTTCTTATTCTGCTTGGATGGTTAGAATGATTCACAAATCCAGTGGAGCAGCAAATCGATTGGAGTGAATCCAGATTCAATTCGTTGGAGTGAATCTGGATTGAAAATCAATTCAGTGAATCCAGATTTAATGCGTTGTTGTGTTCTTCATGTGAGATTTACAGAGATCGGGAAGCGAGTTAGAGAAAGAGAGTATTAAAGAATGTAGCACTATTAATGTAAGAGAGAGTATTAAAGGACGTGTATTAAATTTGTATCATTGTTCCAATGTAATCAGTCACCATTAATGCAATGAATTGTTCCAATTTTACCCTTTTCACATTAATGCAGTGTATTAAATTTGTCTATATTTACAATTCTGCCATCGAAATCTAGGCCATTGGATGAAATGGAATGTAGGGTTAGGATTGGTTTTTAGTTCTCTAGGTTTTTATTAGAACCTCTCCCTATATATATATATATATAGAGCAAGACTCCTATCAACTTAAGTTGATGTCCACCAAAGTTTCTAGCCATACATATATTAAAATAAAATACCTTTTTATATAATACATGGATCCCTAGGCAATATGAGTGGTTAAAAACTTTGGTGGAAATACTATTTGCTATCCACTTAAGTAGCGGCATGCTTTTCCTCCTCCATCCTTTGCCCAAATTTGAAAAGGAAATTCAAGCGAACCCAATTCTTTATTTCTCTGATCCATTCTTCTTTTGCTTATCTTTAAAATGATGCTACTTTGATCGATAGCTAATTTAATGTGGGATTAAGATTAAAAAACAAAAAAATCCTTGACAAGGACATAGTTTTGCTTTATGAAGTGTCTATTGGGTCTCTTGGTCTTGGTTTGTATTTCTCCTGATTTCCACGAGTTCTACCTAGTACTTATCCCCAAATACTAGATGGAAGGTTCCCTTGTTTTTAACATCTCATTTCTTTTCTTGTGCAGGGAGAGCCAAGTTTCCATTTATTTAGTTTTATCATGTGTGTTAGTGCAACTGCTGATAGGGCACTCAAGACTGTGGTGCAAGGGATCTTGTTAATGAAATGCTTGGAAATTTGACAATGAGGTGAACTGATCATGACATGCTTGCAACTGTTGGTACTTGATGATGCTTTGTAGGTTACTTATCCAATGGCTGTTGATTGGGTTCACTGAGCTCAATTTCTGTGCAAGCCTCATGTCTATGTTTGATCGATGTATACGTACATCCCAGTTTTTGTAACCAGTATCAAAATTGAAGAATAAGCCCCTTCTTTATCGAGTTGAGATTGTAAAAGAATGAAGTTCAGTGATGCTAAAATTTTGCCTATTGAAGAATCATCTCCCTTTTATTTTAATTTTTTTTTAGTTTTGGGTAAAATATGAGTAACTTGTTAATTCTATTAGGTTACTTTCCAGATAATAGTGAGGCTCTCCATATTTCATAGCTTGATTGTCCTTGGTTGTAAATCCCATTCTTAAGCTTGATTGTCCTTGGTTCTATATGAGTAACTTGTTAATTCTATTAGGTCACTTTCCAGATAGTGGTGAGGCTCTCCATATTTCATAGCTTCTTTGGCCAGAAATCATTACCAGTTTGAGGGTTTATCTCAGGTTGATAAAAGTTTTGTGAAACGATATGTGGGGCCTTGTGTTTCATGAGTTGCAAAGTTTAGGTAGGTAATTTTTTTTTTTATGTTGGTGATAGTTGATAATTCTTTCTTGTCTTATGTCGTAGCTAGAGATTTTCTCTTCTCATATAGAGTCCTACTGTCTCTAAATTTTCTCATATACTGTCTCTAAATTTTCCTTGCTTCCTTTGGTCTTTAATTAAGAATACGTTTCTTCTCGTAGCTAGTGATATTATTTTGCAGGACGCCTACACCCATTTGCAGCATCAATAAATTACTAATGGTTAAGTTTTTGCATATATTAATGAATTCAGATCAATATATTTTTTAAATTTATCTGTTTCTTTACTTTCCTTATAATATTTAGCTCCCTTTCCCAATCACTTGCTCACTGGGCTAAACTTAACATCCTACAAGCTGTAGATCATGACCTTGATTGAAAATAATCACCATAGGATATATCATCTTAAAAAACATTGACATGATTGAACTACATAATTTCTTTTAGGTCCGTTGAGGATCCAAATGGTCCAAGGAATCGTTCAATTGAAATTGTTTCAGGATCATCCAAGCAAAAGCAACTCATGCAAAAATCTCTTGGAATGCTTCAGATAAAGTTGCCATCAGTCAAACTGCAAACAAAAGGCTAATTCTTTTTGAGGATGGTCAAATATATCCATCAATCATCCAACATAAAAAGAAATAGAAAACAAGCACTAATCAACGAATAATTCTGATTAAACACAATGAAAATAGAGAAAGTCTATGGCGTTGAAAGACTGGTGCACAGAGAGGAGCAATTTGAAACCAAATAGGAATGGCTGGAAATAAAGTAGTTGAAGTGGAGCCATATTTTCTCATTTGAAGCCTTCACAATTATCAAAAAAGTTAAGATGAAGAGGACCGGTGTTTATCTGCATAAATACACGAATCAATGAATACATGAAGTAACTTGTAAACTGAAACAAGTCGTATCAATTAATTAAATATACAATTAACTTCATAAGAAATTAAACATCAATATACCTAGTTGTTTTTCGGAGCCGGATGATGAACTTCAAATTTTGCTTGTATAAATAAACAAGAATCAGATGAATAAATGGAACTAACTGTAAATAAGATGTATCAGTCAACTAATGTAAGTATCTTTGTGAACAATTAAACATTAAAATACCTAGTTATTTGATAGGTTAGCAACAAGAGAATTAGTGCAACTACTTTTATAATGTCCCTTTTGCCCACATCTGCCGCATGTCCTCTTTTTTATCTCCTTTTTTTCCAGTGCTTGTTCAAGTCCTGATTTCAATCTGCTAATTATTCTCGGTCGTCCCTTATGTTTTGTAGACTCGGGAGGGTCACGAACAGTGATTTGAGGGAGTTTCTCAATAGTATGGGAAGGAGGAGTACTAGATTCAACCCAACTTGTAGCTTCAGTCCCCTTGATTTGCTTAGCACTAATATCTTTTTCATGTTTTTCCATCAAGTTAGAAAAAAAGGTATCTATTTCATCAAAGACCATAGGTGATTCAAGTGCCCACTCCATCACGTTATTAAATTTTGCTCTCAAAGCCCAAGAGCGCAAAGTACTCCATTGTTCTCTATTATTATTAAAGTTTTTTTCCAGCATCACATTAGAGACTCCAATATTACGGTGTCTTGCATTCATTGTCCATCTATGCATAATGTATTCTTCGGGAATTCTTACCAACTGAATCGATATCATAATATGAATGACATGCCTACATAATATTCCACCAGTCTCAAACATAGCACATGAACATGTTATTCTCTGTTCATTTTGATTATAAACTATATGCTCCCATACACTTCTTTCAGTAAAGAGCGAGCCAACTATGTATTTAGAAATTGATTCTTCTTTTCCCATCTCATCATGAAACAAAGATACAGAAGCTTTAAGCTCATCTTAAAACCTCTCAAATATAGCTCTTGTATATGACTCTCCAGCTTGAATCTCAATCGGATGGTTTAGATACATCACAGGCTTTGTATTCAAAGTAGCAAAATCTTCACTTAATTCTTGAGAATGACGCGACAATATTGCTTTATCATAGTGCTCAACAAAATCGGACAACAATGTTTGTGAGTTGACGTATGTGTCAAAGAAGGCATTTATACTTTCACTACGTTGGCTTGATGTCATTCCTGCAAAGAAAGTATCTTTGAGATAGCATGGAACCCAATGTGTTCTATTTCTGTACATGGTTTGTAACCAACCTTCTTCATTTTCTTTTATATTGAACTTTTCTTTTAACTCATCCCATTGCTGAATACATGTTTCAATTGTCTTGCTATGCCACCATCTATTAAAGTAGTTCGCAAACTCTTCTCCATGCAACTGTTGTAGAGATAATAAATGATCAACCATGTGCTTGCCAAGATGCCATTTACAATAGCGATGTCGAGTATTTGGAAACACTCTTTGAATGACATTGCATATACCTTTGTCCTGGTCTGTAATAATAGCATGTGGAGCCACTCCATTCATACATTTAACCCACTCAGTAAACAACCAGACAAATGTGTCTTCTTCCTCATCTGCAAGTAGTGCACAACCAAACAAAGTTGACTGCCTATGGTGGTTAACACCAGTAAATGGAGCAAAAGACAGTGCCAACTTGTTAGTTCTATATGTAACATCAAAAACAATAACGTCATGAAACTTTAAGAATGATGCCCTTGCCCGTCCATCTGCCCAAAATACACTCCTCATAGTTCCTGTGGTATCTAATTCAATAGCAAAATAAAAATCTGGATCAAATGTCCTTTTATCTATGAATTTTTGAATGACTAATATGCATTCATTACCCATGTTATTCTTTCTCTGTTTTCTGATATGATCACTACATTGTTGCGATGTGACAATTTCCTCCCGATTTCCACTACCAACATTTATTACTCGTGAAATTGTTGCTGGCGGAAGCCCTTCTTCATGCAAACTTTCAATCAGACTTTGACAACCTTTTGTTCGATATAACTTTCGATGTGAATAATGATTTTTAACCTTATCTGGACTAGTCAACTCGTGATTTGTATGCTCATTAACAAATTTGCTCACTACCCATGTACAGTTATCAGTTCGATTGACCCGCAACATCGCCTTGCAACCTACTCTAGTATCTCTTCGACGCTTAACTATTTTTCCATGCTCTCTCTTATCATTTGTAGATTTTAGACCCTCCTTATTACAGAAAAATTTCTTTGATATGAGTTTTTTTCCTTCCTTCCTAGAGTAATTGCCTGAGCTTATGCGGACACTGAATCCTTTTATTTTTGCATAATCGTTGTAATAATCATACGCAGTAGTATATGTGGGAAATTCCATTCCAATCCATGGTTCCACAATATTGGACTTGCCATTATCAATAGAATAAAGATGATTAATTTTCTCTTGCTCTAGCTCATGCTCTGTATTACTACAATCAACAAATCCGCTTCTTTCCACATTACTAGTCATCAAACTGTCTTCATGAACATCAACCATATTGAAATTGACCTAAACAATATTATTCATTTCCATTAGTATAATTATATCATCCATAGATTAAAATACATCAAATAATTACATAAAACTTTAAAGAAATTACAAAACACATGAAAAATTTTAGGAATTAAATTTAAAATTCAAGAACACGGAAAATGTAAGAATGAAGCTTCTCAAAATAAAAAAGTTATATTTAGTTTTATTTAAAGATAAAACATCCCGTCAGACGACAGATTGCAAGTTAAGGAGAAAACCTCACTAAAATTAATAACGAAAAAAATAACTTATAAGTAATTTCAATTATTCAAAGAAAAATACAAGATCACATAAATTCTAAGGATTTTGATAAATCTTTTAGGAAATAAAAATTAAAATCTAAGTTGTTGGGGCAAAAACTTTTTGATGCCTGTGAACTAAGGTTGACAATCGCGCATGAATTAAAGTTGATTCTTTAAAAAAAATAAATTTTAATAATTCTAATAATTCTAAACTATCAAAGTTGTTTCTTTTCAATTTATTGAAACTTGTTGTGCATACCAACTCACATTCCTTTTCAATTGTGTATCTCTCTGGAAAAAAATGTACAACATAACAAACAATCAACATAATATGATTTTGCTTATCACAAAAAATAAATAAATATGATTGAGCTATATTGTAGATGATCCGCTCTATTGAACTTGATCTACATATTTTAAAACCCTAACACACAAAGTTTGAGGTGAATCCATCGTCGTTTGACTCTCCGTCGAGCCATGTGAAAATATCTATTCATTCGAAACCGTTAAAATTGATACGAGTGGATAAAGGGTCGAGCAAAGACGGGTTCACCCTAAACTTGGTGTGTTAGGGTTTTAGAATATATAGATCAAGTTCAACGGAGTGGATCATCCACAATGTAGCTCAATCATGTAATTTTAGGCTGCGTCCTTAGATGATTATCTAAGGCGTCACCTTAGAAACACTTCTCCCTATATATATATATATATATACATACATCTATTCATTCGAAACCGTTAAAATTGATACGAGTGGATAAAGGGTCGAGCAAAGACGGGTTCACCCTAAACTTGGTGTGTTAGGGTTTTAGAATATATAGATCAAGTTCAACGGAGTGGATCATCCACAATGTAGCTCAATCATGTAATTTTAGGT